AAAAAATTGTAAAAAAGGGCTGTTTTAATAGATAACACCCCATATAGTTTCAAGATATTTAAAGAGAATGTGTGCTTTTGGATTAACATCTGGATTGGCTTTGTAGATAATATCAATAAGGAATTAAGATTTTTTAGCTACTATAGTATAGATAATATATTGAAATGATGCTTTAAGTAGAGGTCTAGTTTTTGTAGCTAGAGCTTGAAACCAGATATTTTTTATCCATACGGTTGTATCTTTTTTATAAAATTAATATCCAGATAATTACTAGTTTTTAATTTATGGATAACTGGATAATCAAACAGATAACCAGATAACCTTACGAATTTCTAAATAACCTCGCAGATAACCTGAAACCTATTAAATAACCAGATATTCTAAGAATACTACGGATAATCGCAAGCATGTTTTGCATTGATATTCATTGTATATTAAAATTCGAACAGGTTTTGTACATGTACATATGTACAGTACATACCTGATAAATACAGTACATACATACGTATATATATACTAACTGCTAAGGCTCTGCAAAAGCTAGCATATGCATTATTAAAACATAGTGTCTATGTCATATTTGATACTATTAGAGCACATGCTAGCACCTAGTATATTTTTGCTATGCCCTAATTTCAATTCTTTATTTTTTTTTATTTTTTTTTAAAATTTTTTATGTTTTTTTTTTAAATCTTTTTTTTATTTATTTTTTTAATTTTTTTAATTTTTTAATATTTTTTATTTTTAATCTTTTTTTGTTAAATTTTAATTTATTTCTAATAGTTTGCTTTCTTTACCTTATTTAATTATTTATTTATTGTTTTTTTTGTTTATTCTTTTATTTATTTATGGCTCTCTTTGTGTTCTTACTAACAAGTAAGTAGTTACCAGTAGTTGGGTAATAATGGGTAGATAGACAGGTTAATGGATATTTGGATGCTTTTACGGATAGAAAGGTAGAATGAATAGATGTTTTCAGGGTAAATTTCATGGATGCTTTTTACTTATCAAATAATTGTTTGCTTTATCCTCAACTTTTATTAATTTTATCTTTTGGGCATGTACATATATGCAATGGTGGGAATAAAAAGTAAATTCTGGTCATTCCTTACTATGAGAATAGCCAGAAATTTACTTTTTATTCCCACCATGCTTTCATTATTCGTTTTTCTATTTAAAATTTTAATGGATATCCAGATCGCATCTATCAAATATCATGGTTTAATATACTGCTTTAATTTATATCCAGATATCTGCAATTACCTGCAGATACTTACGGATATCTGCAAATACCTGCCAGATTATCCTTTTTAAAACTAACAGATAAAGATTATTACTCATAAACCATTTATGGTATCTGGATATATGCTAACTATATAGATATTCAGATAAGCAGATAATAGTTCTGACCTCTATTTATAGCAGGCTTGATTTCTTTTTCTGGATAGAAGTTATATAGGTGTTTTTTGATGAAAAGAAGAATTTGTCTGGGTAATTGGTTGAGTTTTGTTTGTTGTTTCATTTTCTCATTGATGGGGAATTGGGTAAGCCAATCTAATTCTACATAGAACTTGATACTTGTCTTTTGTTTCATGTTGTTTGGTTCGTCTTTATAAATAGTGACTCTAAAAGTATTTGCATAATTTTTATAGAATACATCAAGATCAAGTAAATCAGGATCTTGATTAATTAGAGTAGGCATGTTGATGTATTTTTTTCCTTAAGAGCACTAGGTTGATTGTCTTAGTAGAATTTTATAATATATTACTTTAAAGTTTTAAATACAGAATTTAGACAGGTTAGATACTATGGGGTCTTTTGTATAGCTACAGTGGCTAGTGTAGCTCGTGTAATCTTGTATAACCTTGTATAACCCAAATTAGTCTTGGGTGATACAAGAGTATAGCTGGTATAGCTAGTATGACTGGTGTAACAAAAAAGTTATATATAATACTAAGCAGTATAAGTGAGTACAAAGATTATATAAAAATAGCAGTTAGTAAAAATAGATTTGTATTATTAATTAGATAACTATTTTGATTGATACAATAACAAGTTTAATGAATTCTAAGTTTGGGAGTGATTTTCTGTTATATGAAAAATAGGTTAGAGAGAAAAGGTTGGGGTAAAGGTAAAAAAATTTTATAAAGATTTTTAAAGAGAAGTAAAAAGTATTTTTGTTAATATTTTGGTTAATATTAGGCCAAAACTCTCTGTTAAGAGCTTGTTTTAACCGGGTGGGTGAGCTTAATAACTTATCTTAGAGCAACCAGATAGGTTATAAAGGTAGTTTTAGAGAAATAGTTAAAAATTTAAATTTTAAAACCAAAAGTAGTTTTTATAGCGTTATGCTACAAGTTTTCAAGATAAAAGCTTGAAACTTCTTGATTATATGTAAAATTAAGAGCTAAACAAGTTTACTTAGTATATTGAAGACAGTTAACTTAATAAAATATTGTGTTATTACAGATTTTGTATAGATGAATTTTTAGTTAAATTTTGTGTAAATGATTGATAGAAAAAGTTTTTTTGTATTCATCTTTGTACAAAAATTAATTTTCTGTACCAAAACATATAACTATTAATAAAAAATTATTTATGTTGCACTAAAATTTGAGAAAAAGTAAAAGATAGCATTTTGAACAACTTTACTTAGTAAGTAAAATTTAAAATACCAAAAAATGTACAAGAATATTGAGATTAACTTGAAAATTAAACATATAAATAAAAAATTTAAGAAAGATATGGGATTTTTTAGACTAAAAATCACTACAATCAAGTATTAGTAATAAGTAAATTTTAATACACCCTTTGATATTTGTTGATAAAAAATTTAAAGATTTATTTAGCAAAAAGTTTTGCTTTAAATTTAAAATGATTTTTAATTAAAAATTGATGTATATTAGTATATTTAATAATATTTATCACATTCATCAAAATACCTACAGAGAAGTTGAAAAATATTGTTTATAAAGATTATATAATTTATATAACAATTAAGTTTTTTTCATTCTATTTTGTATAGCAGCTTAAAAACTATAACACAATTTTTTTAATATATAGATCTTTTATCTAAAGTTAAACTTTATACTTTGTCAAATAAATTATCAATTCGTATAGTTATACAAGTAGCCTTCTCATCCAATATTCATTTTGCTAAAGTATCTCTTCCAGGAGGATTATATCCTAATTCAAGTAAATTCAACAAGGCTCAGACAAATGGATTGTCAATTATAGCAAATAGAATTCTGACACAAATAAAAGCTTTGAGTAATGTTTTATTAATTTTATTAGCTTTTTTATTAATAAGGGTTTAGAACATAGATATAAGGTTTTAGATTTTGCTAATGATAGTGATACTATACTGTCATTATCACTATCATTATTTATTACTTTATCATTTTGTTTTGCCACTTCAACTAGCCAATGTCACTTTATATTATCAAAAACTTTATATTTATAATACAAAGCCAAATGTGTTTCCATCTTTGTGGCTCTTCCACACTTCTAGTTTTCTTTACTATAATAATAACATTTTGCACTGTAGTAATCTTTGCCATCAGATTTTTTTGTAATAAGTCATCTCAAACCACAGCTTTTAGATATCCATCCTTATTTACTACAATTGTTTGAAGGCTTGTTTTTCTAATTTTATTTTTTTTAATAATTTTGCCAAATTGCGATATATTAGAAAAATTTTTAAGTAATTGCAATATATTAAAAAAATTTTCAAGTAATTGCGATATATCAGAAGAATTTTCAAGTAATTCTGATATATCAAAAACATATTTAGATAAGTTTTCTTTAATTAAACATTTGTAAATAATTTGTTATAAGAGCACAAAAACAGATAAATTTTTTTTTATTAAAATTTATAGTTATATAGTATATATATTTGCAGCATTTATATTTAAAATAATCAAAAATAAAAAATAAAAATCTAGCGCTGTTTTTTATTTTAATTATAGAATTAATTCTTCCAGTGTGAGTATTAGTCCAAGTTTAAAAACCAATAGAACAACCAGTATAATAATATAAAATAATTAACAATTTACCTTTACTTATCAAATATAAAAAGAATAAAACTACTATTCTGAAGAAAATTGAATTTAATCTTAAACAATCAACAAAACAAAAAAAACAAAGACAGATAAAGATGTAAATATAAAATAAGTTGATCATTGATTGGTTCATAAGGTTTAGAATATGCAATCAGAAAGGGCACTGCTTTTAGATTTTGAATCAGGTTTGGAATCATGACAATGATTAATCTCCAAACCCAAAATAGATAAGAATGTCAATACTATTCTATACAGGTTTGGTTTACATTATTAGTGGTTATAAGAATGGCTTTGAAAGTGGATATTTTCAGTATTTACCAAAATCGAAAATCTACCAAAAGTACTTTCGAAGAAATATTTGAAAGTTAAAAGTCTTACTGAAAGTTAAAAGTCTTACTAAAAGTCAAAAGTTTTACCAAAAGTCGAAAGTCTTACCAAAAGTCAAAAGCCTTACTGAAAGTTGAAACTCTTACCAAAAGTTGAAACTCTTACTGAAAGTCAAAAGTTTTACCAAAAGTCAAATTCTATCTTCACTCAAATAAAGTCACTTTGACAAAGCCAATCAGATCTTGACACAGACATACCGCTGAACTTAAAGTCGACCAATGGAATTTCTTAGAAATTTCATTGGTCAATTTAAGTGCAGCGGTCACGTGATGTTTTAAGTCTGCATCACGTGATATGTTCGAAAAATACTTCAGTGAAGATAGGATTTGACTTTCGGTAAGACTTTCAAAATTCGGTAAGAGTTTCGACTTTCGGTAAGACTTTCAACTTTCGGTAAGACTTTTGACTTTCGTAGGACTTTCGGTAAGACTTTCGACTTTCGGTAAGAGTTTTAACTTTCGGTAAGATTTTTGACTTTCGTAAGACTTTCGACTTTCGATATAACTTTCGATTTCGGTATGACTTTCGGCACGCCAAAATACTTTCGGAGGTGGTCAATATCTAATGGGATTAAAAATATGTCTAATCTCATTTATTTTTGTATATGGCAAATTTTTTTATCAAAAAATTATGGCATAATTTTTATATCAAATAATTAGTAAACTATTTTACTGAAAATTCAATAACAGTGAATGGATTAATAACTTTAATAGAAGGATACGATTTAGTAGAGGATAGATTTGTAATTTCAACAACAGGTGATCCATAATTTCAATAGTATGTAGATTTGTGATCTATTGACTAAATGGATTGTCAGGATCAAAGCACTGAAATTGATTTCAACTGTAATGCTGCGACGAGTTGTTCATTTCACTGAAAAATATTTTATATAAAGTAAAAATTGCAAAATGATAATAACATTAATATCAACAACGTATCAAATTTTTTAATCTGGAGCTCTGTATAATCTAATTTTATTCAATGTTATATACTAATATGCTTTATTGCACTATCTTACTACAACAGTTTTTCTTTTACAAAATATTGTTATGATCATTAATTTTTTAAAAAAAGAAAAAAATTCTCAGAATTTTTTTTCTGCCATTTTCGGTCGGAGTAGTTAGAAATTCCAGTTGAAATAAAGCATAGCTTGCAAATATCATAGAACTTTAAGCTTTAACACAAATCGTGTCGTTCACGGCGCATACCAAGTACTGATAGTGCTATTAATAAACACTATCAGCATTTGGTATAAGACGTAAACGACATGACATGAGTTAAAGCATCAAGTTTCTATGATATTTGAAAAATGTGCTTTATTTCCAATTAATACGATTAATGAATCCAATATATTGCAATTGCACATTGCAATATATTGGATTCATTAATCGTATTAATTGGAAATGGTTCTACCGCAAATCTCGTCAGGATTTTGCGGTAGGGCCTTGGAAAACAATGATGATAAAGTTATATAAAAAAGTTTTGTTGATTACATTTGTTGAATGTAACATGAGTGACTACTTATAAAAAAAAAGAAAAAGAAAAAAAAAACATAAAAAAAAAAAACAAAAAGAAAAAAAATGCAATGTCACGCTACTAAATCTAATCTCAATTTTAATGAAATTGAATCAATGGTACTATTTAAAAATTCAAATAGCAAACATATTTTTATGTGATGAACGGGGACCTGAGTGCAAGTGTTCGGGTGGTCATGACGGATGGCCCTAACAAGAACTGTAAACTAGAAGAACGTCTGAAATTATGATAATGAAAATTTTAATATTAATTTAAGGCAATTTATTTAAATTCAACTGCTAGTAAAACAATGACAATATAATTACAATGAGTTGGATGGCGAAAATTAATACCATCACTTTTTTGCTGAATATTATAATCCATAGCTTTATGACTTGGATCTCTTCTTGCTATTACAGCACTAGGATAATGTGGCTAAATGTCCTTTATTTGGTCCAATACATTAGAGCATTTACTTTTTTGACTCTACACTGGGTAGGTTGTCGTTATGCCTTTAAATAATAAACCACGTTATATATATTTAAAAGACAGTAAATAGATGAATATGTACAGTGGGAGGAGGAGATTTAGTTCATTTCATTCTTTTTTGCATTTTTTTTCTTTTTTCTTTTTTTTTTTGAGGGATTATCCAAGGAAGTTGCAAGATGGGGAAGTTCCTATTTATAAATCATTGGATGATTACAAAATACCACTTAAAAAAGGACAGTTACAATCGAAAACATCAGCGGATGAAATTGGTCAATTTTGGAATAAGTTAAAAGGGCTGGAAAACGCCGTCATACGGGAAAACGAAAATAGAAGAGATCATCTAAAGCTTTATATTAATTTAAGCGTCGCGTGATTTTTAATCTTAAATCTGCGGGATTGATGTACTTTAAGTTCATGTTACTGGATTACAAAAAAAAAGGCTAAATTAGTTTATTTTGGTAGCTTATCTTGATATCTCGTACTTACGTAAATGTGTATCTGTGCAACCGCCGGAAAAACTACTTATGAGATCTCGTTTGTAAATTCTTATTAACGTTAAATGTAGCAAAAAAAAACCTACGATTACCACATGTTACATATTATAACAATAAACATTTTTCGGCCCTATTGTTACGTAACTTCAAAAATAATCTGGTAATACTTTTAAAACTTATAAAAAGAGTCCCGGATCATTTAGATTTCCTAATTTGTTCAATTCAAAGAAGTCACTAACTTTCTTTCTACTTGACGCATTATTATAGCAAAAAATTATAAAGTCTTCCTGTTAAGTAACAATCCAAAGTAGTACTGTTACATTTCTAATGAAACCCTTTTGTAGAATTTTAATTAATTATGTAGAAAGCAGTAGCAGAAACTATTACCGATTTGCCAAAAGTATTTTAGCATTATTACGGCTGTTCTCATAAATTCTGGGACAAATTAAAAATCTGTTCATTACTAGAAATCTTTTAGGTTCCATCCTGTAAATTACCTAACTCCCCGTAGGCTACATCTCTATCTTCGAACATCCAGTTTGTGAACGAGTAAATTTTAATTTGTCCAAAAATTATGAGAACAGTTAGTTTTCATGCGAATGGTTACATTAGGTTTGTATTATTTTGGTTTGTTCACATTTCCATGTGTATGATTCTTAGGTTCATGCAACAAATTGCCTTGACATAGAAATTTAGCCTCACTAGTCTAAAAAATTTCGTAGGTACGTACACACGTAAATTAGAAATAATATCTTGATCCGCCAGGGACACTGAAATTATGTGATTTAGTGTGATTAAACAAAATCACACTAAATTACTTAAGTTTGCTTCACTTATATTACATTAGTATCATGTGCACTCGTTTTAAATTTTTAGTATCGTAATATTTTAAAATGTTACCGTAACAGCGTGGACTAAAATACCCAGGGTACTTTACAATTTAAGCTGTATATATGGTATAATAGTCGGCGGGATATGAGTGCTGCAGTGATATTTTATATACAGTCAGACCTCCCTAAATGCAATGCGACGGGATATAAAAATTTGGTAAAACGTGCACTTAGAGAGGTATTGCATTTAGGGAGGTAAAAATATATAGATGTAATATTAGTTGGGCCCAAGAGAAGACGTGCATTTAGGGAGGTGTTTCATAGGACGTGCACTTGGGGGGTAGCATTTAGGGGGGTCTGACTGTACTAAGTACAATTAATTCATCTTAGTACCCGGGTATTTTACATTCCCAAGTGCAATTAATCCGTCCTTAGTACCCGGGGTACTTTACATTCTTTACCTCCGAAAATCGTGAGGGGTATTATAAAAGGGGGTCTTTTAGTCCATGCTGTATGGTAATAAATGTCACGGATGATGGTGAAATTTGGATCTATTTTATGTACGATTTTTAAAAATTTTCAGGAGCCTTTTTTTGCCGGCTTTTTTTTTATAGTTAAGTTAGGATTTAGGGTTATAGCTATTAGTAATATAGTATAGGTGGATTTTGGTAGGGCTTATATTTTCAAATCGAGACCTCTAAATGTCACCATCATTCGATTTTACGATCATCCATGTCATGGTGTTACCCAAACTACCGTGTATTACTTGGCTTCTACTATCAGTCTTTAACTCGCTTGGCAATTAAACGATGACTGGAGTATCATGCCAGATACTACCACCGATAATGTACTCACACAGATAACAGTTTATTCACTAAGAATAATTCAAAAAGCCAAAGTT